TTTTTGGTACCCAGGGGTTGAACCCAGGGGCACTCCCCTATCAAGCTACATCCCAGCACCCCCACACATACCTTGACAACTTGTTTTGAGATAGGGCCTCCCTACGTTGCCCAGCCTGGATTCTAACTTGAGATCCTCCTGCCTCAGCCTCCTGAGTCACTGGGATTACAGATGTGTGTACCATGTCCAGCTCTGCCTGGACCATATTCTCACAGACATCTCTGTCGGGTTTGCTCCCTCTTTATATTTATGTCTCAACTCAAAGGTCATCTCCACAGAGAGGCCTTCCCTGACCATTCATCCAAAATAGATTCCTGCCCCCATCCTCCATCGCCTTCTGTTTCATCATTCCTCACGGCATTGATTGATCAATACCTGAAATCCAATATTTTCGCGGCTGCTCACTGGCCATCTTTCTGTTAGAGCGCATGATCATGAGGGCCGAGATGCCGGGACATGGCTCAGGAGAAACCTGATGATTGAGTGAATGAAGGGACTGGGGTGTAGAGTGAAGAGAGCTGAGGGTGAGACGGTGACGATGGGACACAGTGGTTCTTCATCTCTCCTAAACCAGGTGCCCTTCAGAGTGCTAGGTGAAAGCCACATCCCTCTAGCTAAAAAAATAGCCAAATGTCTGCATAACAGGTCAAGAACTGATGGGGGCGGGAGACTTGAGGCGGGAGTGGTGAGGCACATCTATAATCCCAGCAGCTTGGGAGGCTAAGGCAGGAGGATTGTGAGTTCAAAGCCAGCCTCAGCAATTTAGTAAGGCCCTAAGCAACTCGGTGAGACCCTGTCTCTAAATAAAATACAAAAAAGGGCTGGGGATGTGGCTCAATGGTGGGGTGTTCATGAGTTTAATCCCTGGTACCAAAAAAAAAAAAAAATCCTTGCATCTATTTGAGCATCAGCTGTCTCCTGGGTAACTGAGCCCCATCAGGGATGCTGCCAAAGAACAGGATCTGTCAAGAGCCAATGGACTGAGCAGAAGCACCAGAGTGTGTGTATGTGGCCCAAAATCTGGTTAGGGGTCCAAACCTAAGCCCATCATCTCACCTTTGGTCCTGCACCCACTGAGGCAGGCATGATAACCACCATGACTACCCTTCCCACCTGGCACGTCAGCCCTGTCACCTTCAAGAGCCAACTTGCTGTGACCAACAGAATGAATGTGGCAGAAGTGATTCCGTGCTAGCTCTTGGGCCCCACCTGTAGGAGGCCAGCAGCTGCCCCTTTCTCTTTAGGAGTCCTCTGCCACACAGTAGGTCTGACTACTTAGGAACCATGTCGTGAGGAAGCCCAACCTAGCCACGTGGGAAAGACGGGTGACGTGCAGGATCCCAGAGGTACCATCTGGGCCACTGAGTCAGCCTGGACCTTCCAGCCAACCGCCAGCCAAGGGAGGCTGAGTGGGCGGCTCGAGCTGATGCCACACAGAGCAGAAGAGCCACCCCGCTCAGCCCTGCCCAAGTTACCTGTCCCCGTACACAACAGAAAATGACACCTCCCCGTGTTTCAAGCCACCAAGATTTGGGGAGGTGGTCACCCAGCAATAAATAACTGATCCAGTCACATCACCTCACCTTGCCTCTTCCCCATCCCAGCCCTTTGAGTAAATACCTACTCAATCTTATAGGCTCAACTCAGGGGCCCCTTCCTTGGAGATGCCCTCCCAGACTTCCACAGCATCTGTGGGCACTCCACCTGCCCCCATGAGGCTCATCCATACCCCAGTCCCATGACCGTCATGGGAATGGGGTATGGATTTGCTTGCTTCTCTACCAGACTGTCATTTTTATCCACATGTGCCACACACAACCATTACCTACATCCCAGGGGCTCAATAAGGGGTTATGTACTGAAAGAACAAGCCCTACACTATTTGTGCACACACACCAACTTTTTTTTTTTTCTTTTTAAAGATAGGGTCCAAGTTGCTGAGGGCCTCGCTAAGTTGCTGAAGCTGGCCTCAAACTTGCAAGCCTCCCAAGTTGCTGAGATTACAGGCGTCATCATGCTTTTTACAAATGACCGCATTCATTCTCTGCAGGCCTGTGTGTCTCTTTCCCGCTGTGCTAGTGAGGATCATGCCAGCTCATCTCTATATCCCTCACAGAGCTTTGTACACAGTCAGCGCTCAACTGACAGACATGTGACTTTCTCTGGGACCTTAGCCCCAGGGTCACCTGTGGAGCTTTGATGTCCAGGTTCTAGGTCTCCTAAGCCTGGGTGTGCTACAAGCTTGCATGAGGCTCTGTTTATTTCTGGCTCTTTTCAGTCATGGAAATTCTCAAAAGCCCATGCCGTCCACATTCACAATGGGTCCAGCCCCAAAGACCGTGTTTGAGAAGCCACATTCTGTCCAAAGGCATCCCTTGCAGCTCCTACTGCCCAGACAAATGTCAAACAGCAAATACAGCTTCCCACGCAGCCAGGGCTCTGCAAACCAACTGGAAATATCTGGCCCAGTCTGTTATTATAAAGCACAGTCCAGACAGCATTGTCACCACAAAGGACAATCACTCTGTGAACACACACAGGTCTTGTGACCTCTACTCAACATTCCAGAGATATAGGAGCTGAGTGGGCCCAGGGAGGAAGGAGCCAGTCATATACAGTGCAGAGGGCCGGGCACGGGGAGGAGGCCAGATGCCTGGTCCTGTTCAAACTGGGTAACTCCTTATCTGCAAAATAAGCACCCTGCTCTGAGGTCACCGTCCAGAGCATTTTCCCTCCTGACTACATGGACCCCTTCCCACTCCTCCTGAGGCTCTCCCCAGGTGGGGAAGGGCTTGTCCACCTCCCATGTTCTAGCTTTCCATCTTTTTTAAAAATTTATTTATTTATTTTTTTGGTGGTACCGGGGATTGAACCCAGGGGTGTTTAACCACTAAGCCACATTCTCAGCAATTTTTTTACATTTTATTTTGAGACAGGGTTTCATTAAGTTGCTTAAGGCCTCACTAAGTTGTTGAGGCTGGCTTTGAACTTGTGATCCTCCTGTCTCAGCCTCCCAAGCACAGGGATTACAGGTGTGTACCACCATGCCCAGCCCGGCTTTATGTCTTAGCTGGGACCTAATCTTAAAATTCCACAGGCTCACAGAGCCCATGAAATCTCAGTCAGTATTTATAGGCCTGTGTCACCCAGAGTGAACAGAAGGAAAAGGTGACAGACCTGCGGGAGGTGGGGAGGAGAAAATAAAGACAGGGATGTCAGGAAATAGTTTCCTTCTGGGCACACCGCTGACCCTCTGCAAGTCCCAAGGGCCAAATACTCTTCATTCAACTCTGGGAGACACAAAGGATTTATATATAGCCCAAGTTCTACCTGTCACCAGCTGTGTGGCTTTGCACATATTTCCCTCTAGAAAAGGATGCACCTTCTCTGTGAGGCTGTCACAGGGCTCATCAGCTATGCCCTGAAGGGACTAGCCCAGCGCTGGTACACAGAAGGTGCTCAATAAATTGAATAAGGTGCTAAATAAATTGAACTCTCTTCTTGCTCCCTTTCACCTCCTGCATCCAGTTAGAAAAGGCTAGCTTATTATTGAGGCTATCTAAAGATAAGAATCCAGCCGGGAGCGGTGGTACATGCCTGTAATCCCAGAGGCTCGGAAGGCTGAGGCAGGAGAATCATGAGTTCAAAGCCAGCCTCAGCAACAGAAAGGTGCTAAGCAGCATAGTGAGACCCTATCTCTAAATAAAATACAGAAAAGGGCTGGTGGCTGGGGTTGTGGCTCAGGGGTAGAGCGCTCACCCAGCATGTGCGAGGCCCTGGGTTTGATTCTCAGCACCACATAAAAATAAATAAAATAAAATAAAGGTGTCCAACTACAACTAAAAAATAAAATGTAAAAAAAATTTCAAAATAAATAAATAAAAAGGGCTGAGGATGTGGCTCAGTAGTTGAGTGCCCTGGGTTCAATCCCTGGAAGAAGGAGAAGGAGAAGTAGGGGGAGGGGGAGGGGAATTCAGGTATATTCTATTAATAGGGATAGGCTTTTTTTAATATTTATTTTTTAGTTGGACACAATACCTTTATTTATTTATTTTTATGTGGTGCTTAGGATCGAACCCAGGGCCTCGCATGTGCTAGGCGCGCACGCTACTGCTGAGCCACAACCCCAGCCCCAATAGGGATAGTTTTTATGTTATCGGTTACAAATAAATTTAGAATTTTTTAAAGTGGGGAAAAAAATAGAATTTAGATATAAGAGAAGCTCTGTCCTTCAGGGATTATGTGTTTAGCCACGAATAACAAACAATGGAATGTATTACTCAAAACTATCAAGAGACTATTCATTCATTCAACAAATATGTGTTGAAAGTTTAAGGTGCTACAAGCAGTCCTCTTACCTCTTCTAATGCACTTCCAGATCACAGCACCACGGGACTTTGGACAGTGACTGCCCCTAAACTGCTTTTACCCAGGGTCCTGCCCAGGTCTTTGGAAATAAATATGACAGCATCCTATCCACAGCATCCTATCCACCATGATCTAAGCTCTAGATTCTAGGGAGAGGGTAGCAACCCAAAGACAATGATGATAAAGCTTTTGATGACATAAATAGGTGAAGCTTGGAGAGAGGTGACCAGGTCAGCATCTAGGGGACTCCCCAGGTAGAGATGGGAACAGCAATACCCCCTGTCCAAGTTGTTGTGCCAAAAATCTGACCCCAAATCGTAGTGCCCCGGCATGTAGTGTCATCGATACTTGGCCATCTATCTGTAGCGAAGGGCCAGTTTTCCTTTTTAACTTCCAATTTGGTGATCTTGTAAGATATGTGGATTTTGTGTTTGAATGCCAACGTGACATCAAATTCGTTTGAAAGCTTTAAATACACACTCTTAATGCCGGCCTTTATCTCATTGCTACTGAACACCAAACCATTCATGAACTGGCACTAAACCCGGAGCCACACTTGGGATTAACTCCACAAACCATCCAAGAGGCACCACAAATGCACACAAGAAACGGAACGGTCAAGTTCAACTTACTTGCCGATGGCTGGAATTTGAACAGATCTTGCAAGTCAGTAGAAATCTGGAAAACGTGGCTATAGAACTGCTGGACGGAACTCTTGAGGCCGGAAATGTCTCTGGAATGCGACCTGAGTGTCCCGTTCATCTGCCTGACACAGTTCCACAGGCTGCTGACGTGCCTGTTGAGCCCCTCTTTGATCTTCTGCAGACTCCCCGACATGGAGTCCAGCTTGCTGCACGTTTTCTCCATATGCGACACCCTGTCCTCAACCACAGAGACCCCCCTCTGGACCCCATGAATATTTTCCTTACAAGTGTCCAGCTCAGACAGGACCTGGCTCTGGAGCCTCTGCCACCTCTCCTCCAGCTGACCGCAACACTGAGCCACAGGGTCCTGGGGAGACGGGAGGGTCTCCACCATCCTTTCTTGCTCACCCACCTTAGTAAAACCACCTCCTGCAGCATTTTTACCTGCTTTACAATTGCTCACTTCCTTCTGAAGATGAGTCACATCATTACCTGTGTGGTTTAGTTGAGAATAAAGACGACTAAAATCTTCTCGAAGCTTCTGGATGTTACGCTCGGTTTCTTGAAACTTCCTATACATTGTGTCATTGAGAGATTTCAAAAGGCTCAGGCTATCACCCGCTAGGTGGTCCTCTCTGTTTGGTACAGTACCTTCCAACCCAAGATGTCCTCCCTGGAAGTTCTGCAGGAAAATGTCCTCAACCATTTGAACTTTGTCCCGCAGGTGGTTTAATTCTATCATGACCTGTTCATTGCCTGATCCAGACAGCCCAGGCAGGGCTGCCCCTGGGGGACCAAATTCACCACCAGTGTCATTGGCCACTTGTAGGAGGACGCTCCCCAGACGGTCTTCCAGAGAGTGTATTTTCTGATCCAAAAGTTGCCTCAAGTCATCGACCTCCCCAGAGATGGTCCCCCGGAGGGTTTCCTCAATGTAAAAGCAATGTTCTTCCGCGTTCTTCTCCGTCACGTTGATCCTTGCATCTAGTTCATTCCATCTGGCATCAAAGTCCACATCTGGTTCCGGAACCATGAGGCGGTCAAACTCGTTGTCCATCCGACCATTCAGCATTCTGGTGGCTTCCGCCACTCTCTCGATTTTCTGCTCTAACGTCTTGAGCTGCTCACCGAAGTCGCCACCCTTTCCCCCGCTGCAGCAACTCGGCTGGGCTGGAGGATCCTGCAGCCGGGCTCGAAGGTCGTTGATGTCTTTTTTCAGGCTCGCCTCCTTCTCCCCGATCAGCTCTATCACCCCCAGGTAGCTGCTGCCATAGTCGTCACACTGCTGCTGCAGGCCAACCAGCTTGTACTCACATGTGTTCTTCAGGTCGGCCAGCTTCCTGTCCATCCCCTCCATGAGCTCCTCTCTCAGAGCATCGATCTTACTGTCCACGTAGGCTTGGTAGAGCTCACTGGTGGTCATGGTCACCGTGGGGCCCTGGGCAGCCTCCTGCAGCTGTTTCAGCTGCCCTTCGTAACCCTTCACCTTCCCATCCAGCTCCTCCAGCTTGTCACTCTTGGTCTTCAGAGTATCTTTGACTTCGGCCAATTCAGACTTAATGTCCTTCATACCAGATTCCTTACTACTGAGGACTCCGGGAGGCTGGGCTCTTTCCGTGTCTCTGGCAATCTCACTGCCAGGCCCTGGCTGGGGATGCGGGTCGCCCAGCCATGAGGTCGGTTTGCTGGCATCATCCTGAGTAGCATGTTTGAGATTTTCATTCAGGTCTGAAATGGAAGACTGGAGGTCGAGAACTGTCCTTGTGAGTCGGAGAACCTTCTCCTCAAGCATCTGAATTTTCTTATCCTGAAGTTCTTCAGGCCCCTGTTTGGGATCCACCTTCTGACTCGGTTCTCCTGCACGAGTTGGTGGCGAAATGTCCGTGGGGTCTGAGACTTGGCTTGGTTCGTTATCTATTATAAAGAAAAGGTTGGACCTCAGTTAACATCTGCTGCAAAGACAATAAACGGGGGTACCTAGAGGACATGCTTAAATCTTCCCTTACAAGCCCCCTATCTAACTTAGGTAATTATTGTGGTGGAGTGGAAGACAGGATGGGCTTTGGAGTCAAACAAACCTCTATGTACCTCTGGCTCTGCTATTTACTGTTTGTACTCAAATGAGTTAATTAACTTCTCTGAACTATAATCACTTCATCTATAAAGAGGAGGGATAGGGTCTACTAGGATTGTTAAGAGAAAATGTACATATCATATACAGGCCATCCATGGTCCCTTTCACCCTGAAGGGAAATAACTACTTTGTCATGTGAACACACTGTTGCCACATTAGTGAAATGTGGCCACACCCAGTCATTGACTGCACACTGTAAAGCCATAGGAAGCCCCCCATTAGCAGTTGGAAGGTATGATGATATATAATATCAGATCACTTGAGGTTATCCTCAAAACCACTCCTGAATGTTCTTTTAACTTTTATTAGCATCCCTATGCTAAGAATCTTATAGACATCCCTTGGTCTTATGAAGAGGTCAATAAAACTAAAATCAAAGGACAGATATAGCAACTACTACACTGGTGTCTCCTAATAATAAGCCATCTAGCCATATATAGTAAGATGCCTTAGGTCAAAGATCACAGACATTCAATTTTTGGTAGTCCTATTTTGATAAAATATCTCCCAAGGAGACAGTCCAAATAAAAAAAAAATGATAATGATAGCGATGAGTCATAAAATGGAAATAAATTCATACAGAGATAAGTAATCTAATATTAAAAAGAGGCTATCAAGGGGCTGGGGTTGTAGCTCAGTGGCAGAGTGCTTGCCTAGTACCTAGAGATACTGGGTTCAATCCTCAGCACCACATAAAAATAAATAAAGGCATTGTGTCCATCTGCAACTAAAAAATCAGAAATTAAAAAAAAAAAAAACCTGCAGCAAGAGAATAAGACAGGAGCCATGCCCTAGAAAGGGCTCCCGGAAGGGGACCAACACTGTCCACCTGGAGCCCACAGGGAGGAGACCATGGAAAGTAAGTAGAAGAGGTCAGACATGTTGGGAATTGAACGCAGCAACCAACGTACTACACTGAAAACAAGCAAATTGAGAAAGTTGCAGATATTTGTTTCTTCCGCCCCTAAACTTCCACATGAGATGAGAGCAGCAGCTATTATTTGTTAAAATTAATTCTAACAAATAACTTAGTTGTAAACCAATGCTGCAATTCAGATGCCCCAACTCCCAAGCGCATCTGGTACCTGGCACAGAATAATAAAGAACACTTATTTGCCATACTGAAAATTTACACTATATCTCGGGACCGAAAACATAAGTTATCAAGTCATATATAAGTGAAATGCTATTCTGGGTGCAATGGGGTTGATATTAACTTAAGTATCCCCCCAAAGCTCACATGTATGTGAGACAATGCAAGAACATTTAGAGGTGAAATGATTGGGTTATGAGAGCTGTACCCCAAACAGTGAATTAATCCCCTGGTGGGATTAACTGAGTGGTTACTGGAGGTGGGAGGGTGTGGCTGGAGGAGGTGGGGCACATGCCTTTGTGGTATATATTTTGTGTTCGGCATGTGGGGCCTTTCTGCTTCCTGACCATCCTGTGAGCTGCTTCCCTCTGCCACACTCTGTTGCCATGATGTTCTGTCTCACCTCAAGCCCCAAGGAATGGAGCCTGGTGTCTATGGACTGCGACGTCTAAAACTCTGAGCCCCAAATTAAACTTTTCCCCTTCTAAATTCGTTCTTGTCAGGTCTTTTGGTCACAACAGCACACACACACACACAAAAAAAAAGCTGAAATATTTCTCTCCTCTACCACTGGTGACTGTGTAAATTGCTATAAATATCTTTAAAGGATATTACAGTACTATGTATTAAAATACTCAGATCCTTTTGACCCTGCAATTACATTTCTAGAAATGTATTCCAGAAAATAGTCAATGACAAAACAAAATTTAACAGAGAAAGACACTTATTCAAATACAATATACAATATTGTATCAAGACTATGTTCAAACAATCATATTCTTTGAAGCTATTAAGTGATATTGTAGAGGACTGGGGTTGTGGCTCAGTGGTAGAGCACTTGCCTAGCAAGTGTGAAGCATTGGGTTCGAATGTCACACCACATATAAATAAGTAAAATAAAAGTCCATCAACAACTAATAAAAATACTTTAAAAATGATATTGTAGGATATTTAATGGCATGAAAGGTTATTATTGATTGACAAGTAAAAACTCAGTTGCTGGATCAAGAATAAGCATTTCCTTTTACTTCCTCCTAAAATCCCACTAAAATGACAATGAAAAAGGGAGGGGACCAAAAACCCCATCCAACTTATATATTAAGAATTGGAATCAGAATGGCTAAGAACTTCTTAATAGCAGTATTGGGAGCTAGATGGAAAATGAGCAACGTTTTTAAAATTCTAAAGGAAAAATATTTCCAAGCAGAATTCTGAAACTAGAGTAAAAATATTTTTATAGTATGAAGTATCAAAAAAGTTTACCTCCTACACAATCTTCTCATGAAACTACTAGAATGGGCTAGGGGTGTAGCTCAGGGGAAGGGCACTTGCCTAGCATGTTCTATCCTTAGCACCACAACAACTGAAAAAAACTACTATAGGATGTGTTCAAGCAAAACAAAGGAGTAAAATAAGAGAGTGAGCAGGGAGATACAAAAGAAAATGGGGAATTGAAAAGAGGCAGGTTAAGACCCCAGGGTGACGGGGAAAGAGGATGACAGTCCAGATGGGAGGTATGAGGAAGCTCCTGGAGATGTTTCTTCGAGAAAATGAAGCTGCTGTGTCTGAACATAATGAAGGGACATTCAAATAACCAGACAAGGATTTGGGTTGAAATAGGAAACACACACCAGCGTGCACAAACACACACACACACACACACACACACACACAACCAAGCAAAGGAAAAATGTAAGACAATTATTAACTATAGAAAATCAGAATTCTGTGTAGGAAAGACCCATTCATAATATACCACAGGGCTTAGCTGTAAACATGAGCCATATAATTGACAATACAGTATAAACACTGAATATTGGCGTTAGTTAAAAATATGGTGTTTTTTTCTGTATGGAAAGTAGGGGTTTGGGGAATAGATGAAAGATTGTTAAATCCTCAATTTCCACAAAAAGAAGTCAATAGATACGGAGGTAAATTTCAAGAGATTTATCTGAAGAGCTTAGAGCAGGCTGGGGTGTGGCTCAGTGGGACAGTGCTCTCCTAGCACGCAAGAGGCTCTGGGTTCCATCCGCAGCACG